TTTCTGGTTCCAACTTTAATCTAGTTCTCTGCCCACACCATGGTTGCAACTAATGCCTACTGGTTATATCTCCAACCTTGATTTTGCTCCAGACCTATACATCCAACTGCCTTTTGGTCAGATGACTCTCAGGCAACCTAAATTGTACATGCCTGAAGCCCGTCATCTCTTCACCTCCCTACTCCAAGCTCTTCTACCTCTGTATTTCTTGGCCTTTGTTAATGGCACCACCATTGATTGAAACAGCTGCCTCATGGCTCTGTGTAAAAAGCAAATTTAGTTATTTTATTTCATTTCTCAAAATTCTTTAGACTCAGCAGTGCACACGCCCAAGCTACCATCATGTGCCCTTAGCTACCATCCAACTTCAACTCCTGGCACACTTCTCGTCAGCATTGACACTCTAGAAATACCGAACTACCAAACTCAGGAAATGTCATGTGTTGTCATCCCTCTTGCCTTTATCCTTGCCTGCACCCTTTCTTCTGCTTGGTGTGTCCAACCTCATCACCACCACCTCCTTGTGGTCCCCTGACATCTTTCTGAAGCCTTCCTTGATCTTCCAGGCACCTTCAGGCTCTTTCTTCTCTGGCTCCCTTTGAACTTTGTATCCACCTCCAGCATAGCAATTACTCCAAATAGAAACTCTCAACTTCACTGAATACTTTCTATCTTTCTTTACCTGTCTCACACTTTTGTGGCCACTCGTACCCTAGAATAGTCTAGATGTTCCCTGAATGCCAAAAGGCTTCACCTCTGAGAATTTGTCCTTGAATGATTTTGCCCCAGATGGGTCCATCATATCATTCAGTCACTGCTCAAATGTCACTTCCTCAGAGAGGTCTTTCCTTCAAACCTAAACAAGATAGTGCCCACCCAACCACCCCTCTTTCCCCCACCCTATTTTATTTTTTTCATGGCAGTCATCATTAGCAGCTATTATATTGTGTATTTTTCTGTGTATTTCTTGTCTGTCTATCCACCAGAATATAAGTATCAAGAAACCCAGGATTTTGAATTATTCAACAAATGAATAAAGATATGATGCATGTATAAATAAGTAAAGGATGTTATTTATCACCTAAACATGACACTGTCTCTCTGACTTTCATTTTCCCTTCATCTGCTTTTTTCACATCAAGCCATGAATCTGGGACAAAAAAAAAAGGATTAAGACACAACCTTCAAAAATTGGCAAGTATAATGAGGCTGACTGAGCAACAATATTATAACTTGAAAAAGAACAGCAGCTCAGCTAATCATATATTAAATTTGTCTGAAGAATGTGTTTTATCTTTTAATTCATTTATTCAACTAATATTTATATCACACCTATCATAAGTTCTTTTTGAAAAGATAATAACTGTCTCTTACATTTGTATCATTGTTTATAGTTTACAGGGTCCTTTTTGACACTTATTTTAATGTATCCTCATAAACAATTCTTTGAGGTAAGCAGCTCTTATGAGGAATGAGTCTTATGAGGAATGAGTTACCAGATTAAGGATCATTGGGTTGTAAAAATTTTGCGCTAGGAAAGTATTCCATCGTTTTATTGTTGATACAACTATATACAGAAGCCCATTATCAATCTATTTATTTTACCTCAGAGAGCTATAACACACACATTGTCCATCAGTACCAGTACATTAATTCTCACTTCTAGGATTCCCGGCCTACTCTTAGCTTTAGTGTTAATATGAATATTTCATGGTAGAGTGCACAAACTTTGAGGAAGGTACAATGCCTTCTTTGTTAATTCTACTTACATTCAGTTTCTACACATACTGTGGGTTCTTTATAAATATTTATTGGCAAAAGAAAAGTTATTAATATAAGAATCTCTATTCAGAATATATTCAAGGCAACTGTGACAGCTAGTCTCCAAAGATGGCCCTCAATGAGCCGTGCCTCTCAATATTCAGATTTTTGTGTAATCCCCTCCCCTTGATCTCAGCTGGCTCTGTGACTTGACTACAATCAAAAGAATGTGCTATAAGTGATATGATGTGACTTCGGATGCTCAGTCAAAAGCAGCTTTGCAGTTTCTCTCTTGGACTCTTAGAATACTTACTCTGCAGGAAGGAAGCCACCATGCAAGCAGTGCCACGACTTTATTATTTAATATCATCATGCTGTGAGGAAGCCAAATGTGGAAAGAGATGCTTAGTCAGCCCTCAGCTGTTCAGTCATCCCATCTCAAGCTCCAGTCATGTAGTGAAGAAGCCATCTAGGATGTCATGCCCAACTGAGTCCTCAGATGACTCCTGCCCAGCCAACTTCTTTTTTTTATTTCAAAATATTAAGGAGGTACAAATGTTTTCACTATATAGATACCTTTTATCCATGCTTAAGTCTGGGGTTTTAGTGTGCCCATCACCAAAATGGTGCTCATTGTACCTGACAGGTAGGTTTTTACCCCTCCTCCCCACTCCCTTCTTCCATTATTGATTTTCTATGACCTTTATATCTCTTTATGCCCATGTGTGCCCATCGATGAGCTCCCAATTATTAGAATGTACATGTGGGTTTGTTTTTACATTCCTGAGATACTTCACCTAGGATAATGGGCCCAATTACATGCAAGTTGCTGCAAAAGACATTATTTCCTTCATTTTTATGGCTGAGTAGTACTCCATCATATATATATATATATACCACATTCTGTTAATCCACTCATGTATTGATGGGCACTTAGGTTGATTCCAGATCTTTGCAATAAATATTCAAATGCAGGTATCTTTTTAAATAAAATACTTCTTTTTCTCTAGGTAGATATCCAGTAGTAGGATTGCTGGATGAATGGTAAGTCTACATCTATTTCTTTGAGGAATATTCATAATGTTTTCCATAGAAGTTGTACAAATTTGCAGTTTCACCAATAGTGTGTAAGGCTATAATAACCAAACAGCATGTCACTGTTATAAAAGTAGAGATGTAGACCAATGGAACAGAATAGAGAGCCCAGATATAAAACCATCTACCTATGATCAACTGATCTTTGACAAAGCAGACAACAGCATACACTGGGGAAAGGAAGCCTTATTCAATAAATGGTGCTGGGAAAACTTCATAGCCACATGTGGAAGAATGAAACAGGGCCCCTATCTCTCATCACTCAGAAAAATTAATTCAAGATGGATAGAAGAATTAAATGTAAGGCATGAAACCATTAAAATTCTAGAAGAAAACATAGGAAAAACTCTTCTAGACATCAGCCTAGGAAAAGAATTTATGACTAAGATTGCAAAGGCAATTACAACAACAACAAAAATAAATAAACGGAACTTGATTAAATCAAAAAGCTTCTGCACAACAAAACAAAGGAAATAATCAACAGACTAAATAGACAACCTACAGAATGGGAGAAAATATTTGCAAACTATACATCTGATAAAGGGCTAATATCCAGAATCTGCAAAGAATTCAAACAAATCAGCAAGAAAAAAAACCCAAATAATCCCATTAAAAAGTAGGCAAATGTCATGAAAAGAAGTTTTCCAAAAGAAAATAGACAAATGGTCAACAAACATATGAAGAAATGCTCAACATCACTAAACATCAGGGAAATGCAAATTAAAACCACAATGAGATATCACCTTACCTAATAAAGGTCAGAATGGCCTTTATTAAAAAGTCAAAAAACAATAAATGCTGGTGGGGATGTGGAGAGAAAGGAACATTTATACAAGCCAACTTCTGACTGTAAGCACATGAGAGACCCTGAGCAAGAACTGCCTGGTTGAGCCAAGGCTATCTATCCACAGAACTTTAAGATATGATAATAAAATATTGTCTTAATGCACCTAAGTTTGGGGTGGCTTGTTACACAGCAGCTGTGACTTGTTTTATGGGACTCTTACCATGTCCCCTGGCAAGAGAGCAACCTTTTGGGGACCAGGACCTCCAACCCTGCAGAGTGCAAAGTTGAGGGAACAGAAAGCACAAAATCCCTCTTAGGTCATCAAGACTGAGAGTAAGTGAGACCATTCCTGCTTCCACCTCTTGTTTCCCAGAACCATGTAGTCTTCCTTCTGGGAACACAGAGCCAGGTCTCTGGTTGAGTACGTATACTACATCCAGAAGTATAGCACCCCATCTTTGTACTGTAATGCCTCTGAGCTGTCATTTCAGCTTAGTGGGCCATTCCAGCACTCTATAAAGTGGGCTACTTCCAGAAAGTGTGGTCTCTGATTTAGATATCATCATAGGCCCATTTCTGCATCTCTTTTATTATAAAGTGAGTCCCCTGGTTGGATGCTGTGTTGAGTGGGATTCCATGTTTGTGGACCAGGCATTTCATAGGACCATGGAAAGTAGTGCTGGCTGAGGGTCTGTAGGCAAGAAAGGCAACCCTGTGCTTAGAATGGTATCTATCACTGCAAATGAACTGCAGACTCTTCCATGGTGGAAAGAGGTCCATGCAGCTGGTTTGCCTCCAAGTGGTTAGTGATATACTTTGATCCAGCAATCCCATTGCTGGGCATCTACCCAAATGATCCAATGACACTCTACAAAAAAGACACCTGCACTCGAATGTTTATAGAAGCACAATTCATAATTGCAAGGCTGTGGAAACAGCCCAAGTGCCCATCAATCCAAGAATGGATTAATAAAATGTGGTATATGTATACCATGGAGTACTATTCAGCTCTAAGAAACAATGGTGATATAGCACATCTTATATTTTCCTGGATAGAGCTGGAACCCATACTACTAAGTGAAGTATCCCAAGAATGGAAAAACAAGCACCAGATATATTCTCCAGCAAACTGGTATTAACTGAGTAGCACCTAAGTGGACACATAGGTACTACAGTAATAGGGTATTGGGCAGGTGGGAGGGGGGAGGGGGACGGGTATATACATACATAATGAGTGAGATGTGCACCATCTGGGGGATGGTCATGATGGAGACTCAGACTTTTGGGGGGAGGGGGGTAAATGGGCATTTATTGAAACCTTAAAATCTGTACCCCCATAATATGCCGAAATAAAAAAAAAAAACTTAAAACAAAACAAAACAAACAAACAAAAAAGAAATAGTGCCATATCAAGACTCAGCATTGATCTCTGTTGCTGGAAGATTGGAAATTCAGAGGTGGCAGTAGGTATATTAGCCTTGATAAGTGAACGGTCATGCTGATGAGTCCACGCATATCCTTCATAGCCATTTGTGGCAAATAGGCTTTTCGTATTCTCATCATGCCAGTTACAAGTGGGCTGATGATGAAAGCCAGCTAACATCAGTTGACTGAGTTATTTTGACTACTTACTGCTGGAGTCATTTTATCTACTTATTCTGTGCCTCTTCCACAGTGGATGCTTTCTAAGGAGTGTTAACATATGACATAAAAATTTTCACACTGTGTCCACTCCCATATGTTCATCCACATGCCTCTACCTCCTGTCTCAATGTCTTTAACTTTTCAACTCTTTTTTTTCTTCTTCCAGGCCCCTGATCTGCCAGCTAGACTATTGGCCAATGCCCAGGAAACTATATATGTATTCTCACCTCAGGCCACTTTTCCTTTCATATAAAATGTAGATTACCAGAACACTGCTCACAGATCCACACATAGGGAAGTTTCTCTCTCTCCACTGCCTTTTAAGGCCATCTCTGAATGTTTCTATAATGTAGTTGCTGTACATTCTTGGCTTGGACACACATACCAAGCAAACTCAACTATAAATCAAGCTCAGGCTATTGCTTCTTTCTCCTTCCTCTAGTCACACGCCACACCTAATATGGCCAGAGATAAAAGATGTGGGAAATGCATTGGTGCAATTGTGGAAAGTGTCCTGGGAGTCTGGGTAACCAGCTCATGCAATTTTCTTATGAACTCTGGTCCAAGTTGAGCTCAATCCCAAATACACTATTTCCATTTACAATGGAGTGCTACTAGGCCCATTCAACTTTATGCCTTGGAAGGTCTAAAAGAACCTAGCTCATCATGGTTATGCCAGTGTTTAACTCTAGTTATCAACCTGGAAGCCAGGAGAGAAGGGAGATAGTTCCTGATGGGGCACTGATTGCCGTGCAAGGGAAAGGCCTTTGCAGCATCTTCTTACATAAGGAAATTGCTAGTTTTTACTATGGTAGGCCACCTCTGCAAGCTGTGAGGGTTCAGAGCAAACAACAAGCTGTGAGGGTTCAGGGGCATCCATCCAGATAGCCCCAGCCCATGTTTCAGGGTTCCAGATTTTCCCAACCAGGGCCCTGTTACCATAGCATAACAGATTTCCCTTGGCTGAGCATGTAAATGCATCCAGAGCTCTGCAACTGTATCAAATCCTATCTGTTCCTCAGCTATGTCTGCCCTTCCTCTGAAGGAGATAAGGATGTCTTAGTTATCAAAGACATTCTCCGGCTCTCACATTTAGACTTTAACTGTTTTTAATGCTGTCATTTGTCATTAACTCTTTTCAGGGTTTTAATACAATTTAGCAATATCCAGTAGACTCTGTTCTCTTTGTAGGCATTGTTCGCCTCATATCTTTCAAATGCCTGAATCATTGCACCTGCAGGGGAATTCTCTCTCACCAAGACCTCCCTGCTACCACAACCACCACAGAAATCTTTGGCAGTTGGACCTTCATCTAGTACTAGGGACTATCAATGCCTCAAATATCATCAAGGATGGGGTCCCCCTGGCCAGCAGGGTGGTGACTTAGTCAGTCCCAAACCCTATCTGTTTTTTGAACAATTCTTGATATCAACTGTATCTGTTTGAGTCCTCCAAAAAATACATATACTAAGCCAGAATTAGAGGTTTATTGAAGGAAATATCTGTGGAGAATATAGGGAAAACAAGTGAAGGAACTTCAGACTGTGATGCAGATCTGAAACCTGTAAAAAGAGAGGAGCAAGTAAGGATTGGGCAAAGTTTCAGTCTGTAACACTGTTCTAACAAAGTTTCCACCAAGCCAATGCCAAAGTATGCTTGTCAAAGTCACCTGTTAGAGCAATTTTGCATCCTGCAGGAATGTACTGACACTAGCAACCCCAATGCTCAATTATTGACTTGGAACAGCCCAGGACTGCAAGGCCCCAATGCAAATGCCATGGAAGATGCAAAGGGATGATATGTGAAGCTGTCAGTCAACTCTGCTCTCCCATGTAGGTTCTCTTGAAGGAGACCTGAGTGGCATATTGCTGTGAATGCCACCAGTAGCATATGAGGGGTTCAGTCATAGTCTCTGTTCTTTTTTTTTTTTTTTTGAAACAGAGTCTCACTTTGTTGCCCAGGCTAGAGTGAGTGCTGTGGCATCAGCCTAGCTCACAGCAACCTCAAACTCCTGACCTTGAGCAATCCACCTGCCTCAGCCTCCCAGAATAGTCTCTGTTCTTGACAGGTTGAAGACTCCGCGGTGGCTGTAGCCTGATAGCCCTTGGTTGGTGGAAGTCCATGTTGTTGAGCCCATGCACAACCCTTCACCATGCCACTTACTTCATGAGCCCACTGGGCAAGGACAAGGGTGTCTGATAAAAGAAGTTGACTGACATCTATAAAACAAATCGTCCTGTTCACTTAAATTTAAGGTCCTCCTCTGCTGAGGTTGCTTTTTGGTGAGAGTTCACATGGGACACAAATGTTTTCACACTGTATAAACATTCTGAAAAATCAGTCTATTAATATATACTGCTTCCCCAGATTTCTATGTTACCAGCTATCCAAGTATGTTTCTTCAAAGTCCCTGACCATCTAGTCAAACTTCTAGGCACTTTACTATAACCATATCTCCCTCCCAATAAAATGAGAAACCAGATGCTTGGAGTTTTGCCCAATATGGGAAGATTTCTTTTCATCATTGTCCTTCAGGCCCAACCCTGAGTGGGACTGTAGTGTTATGGATGTCCACTTTTGGGTGGTACTGGCATATTTTGCAGAACCATCTGTAAACAAGGCATATTCTTTCCTCAGTCACTTGTAAATAAGAATCTGTTGATGAGGCCATAGGTGCAGGCTGAGAAGAGGTAGTGTAGTAGAATTAGGAGCTATGATCATCTGAACTACTTGCTAATGTCATTTCTATGTGCCATCAGGACATGCTCAAGCCTGATCTCATATATACTCCCACTTCTGTACATGCCAAACTTTATGGTTTGGTAGGCCAAGCAACTCCCACTCCCCAATGGACATTTCGGGTCACATGGTAACTTGATGGTCCATAGTCAAATGCTTAGTCTCTACTAAGACCCTGTAAAAAGCCAAGAGCTGTTTCTCAAACAAAGAGTAGTTTATCTGCAGAGTACGGCAGGGCTTTGCTCTGAGATTCTAAAACTCTGCTCTGTCATTCCCCTAAGAGGTCTGCCCAAGGTTCAATAGCCACTTTAAGCACCACAGCATTGGCTGTGTCATATGACCAAAGTGGCAGGGGAGCCTATGTGGCACCCTATTGCAAAGCCTTCTCTTTCTCTAGGCCCTATTCAAAATCGGAAGCCTTTCAGATTACTTAGTAAATATCTCTGGACTATAACAAAACACCTAAATAAGATATATTAATATGTTACCTCCACAATCCAGTGATGCATGCTAGGAGCTGGGACTCTTTCTTAATGGTAGAAGGAACCAGATGTAGCAACTTGACCTTCGCCTTGGATGAAATATCTCAACTTTCCCCAGACCGTGCAACCCCAAGAAAGTTCACTAAAGGAGCAAGCTCTTAAATTCTCCTGGGCTTTGTTTCCCACCCTCTTGTCTCTATATGTCTTAAAAAGATGCAGTTGCTATTCCACGTTCCCCTGGTCCATCAGTGTTGTGGATCTACATGATGTGTTGTAGAATGGTGAGGCAACCAATTCCCTGCAAAACACAAAAGACAGGGTTGGAGACTTGATATAACCCTCAAAAGAAACAATGAAGGTACATTGATATATCTTACAGGTGAAAGAAAAATGCTTCTGGTAGGCTCTACTAACAGGTATGTAGAGGAAAAAATTATTTTCCAAATCAATACTCACATATCAGATGTCAGACATGTTGATTTATTACAGCAACGAAACCACATCTGGAACAGCAGCTGCAATTGTATTCACCATCTGATTAAGTTTATAATAATCCTTTATCATTCTTCAAGATCCACCTTTCTTCTGTACAGGCCGAATAGATGAGTTGAATGGAGATGTGGTAGAAATCACCAGCCATTTTTAGTCCTTTATAAAGGCACTAATCTCTACAGGCTCTCCAGAGTGCAGTATTATTTTGGATTAACTGTTTTGGAATACAGAGGCAGTTCTAATGCCTTCTGCTTGTCCTCACTCCACAGATCAGATAACCAATACAGTCGTTCTGCCTTTTGATGAGGGTCACTTTCAATCAAGCATCCTAGAACTTGGGAAATAACTATGGTGTGAGTTCACAGCCCAGCTGGGCACACTGTGAGATGGAGCTGAGCCAAAATACCACTAATCATTCAACCTAATCAATACCATTCAATCAATACCATTCAATCCATACTCTGGAAAAGGGGCAGCAGTGGCATATTGGGCCTCCCAGAACTGGTATCATTTCAGAGCCTGTGTCCAGAAATCCCCCCAAAAGTCTATTTCCCTTTCCCCAATGCAGTATGACTATGGTATATGGTTGTAGGTCTCTAGGAGAAAAGGAAAAGGGGAAATTTGCAGTCTAAACTTTTGCAGTATAAATATAAATTAGAAAAATCTTTCAATTCTTTGGGCATCTATAGTACCTTGTCATTTTGTTCCTGCCCCCATGATCCTGCCAGGACTTGAGTCTAGTGACATTAATAAGAATAGAAACAATGAAAAGGAGTTGAGGGCGACTCTTGATGAGTCTTGTCATTTTTTCCGCAGGACAAGTCATTATAGGTACTTCAGTCAAGAGGGTACTAACTCCTCAGAGGAGGAATGGCTGCCTCTGCTGGGAAGGAGACTGAGGGGCTTCAAGTTTCTCTACTTCATGAGAATCTACCCACATGTTGCCACCTCAATTTTCAGGGCCCCAACTCTATCCCAACCAATGCCCTAACTGTAAGAAACCTTGAATTAAATTAGTGGTGTAATCCAGCTACCCATAGTATTAGTCTTTGGGTTTGATTTTCAGAAATATCAGATCTTGCAGCTATGAGAAATAAGAGTTTCTTTCAGAATAGTCACAGAGATTTTCCAGTTCCTTGTCTGAATCTTGAGCTGAGGTTGTAATGCCCTGAGCTCATTTTTTTCGTTCCATATTTTCCACAGCACTTTGAAACAGCCCTCAAGTCCCATAGTCTTTATATTTTTATTTCCACTACATTGTTCTATGGCAGCAGCTACCTGATAATCTAATGCCTTGCCTTCTATAGACACTTGGTGTCAGGGACTACTAGTGTCATGTTTACCACAGCAATAGGGTCATTAATGCCTCCTCAAAACCAAGAATTAATGCCAAATCCCCATCTTTAGGGTTCTGTCCCTGGAATCACTTCCAGGACAAATAACTCTATCAGTTAGGAGTCACCCAGGGAGGCAGAACCCCTGTGAAGGACACAGAATAAAGGAATAAGGAATTCGTTGTAGAATTAGACCTTACAAATGTGGGAGAAACTAGAGAAGTAAAGGTCTAGAAGAGAGAATCAGAAGATCAGAAAAAGGGTCATTAATCTGTCTGCATGAAGCAGGATGGACAGGACAAGCTGAGGCTTGAAGGAAAACCCAAGAAGCTATACACTTTCAGCCACCAGAGTCAAACTGTAAAGGGAAGCTCATGGAGAAGTAGTTGGAAAGTGGTTAGCTCTCCATAGCTGCCACTCATGTGGGTCCACAGCCAAGCATCTGGTGATAGGACTGGGGCCATTGTTGGTCAGCAGGGCCAAGAATCAGAAAGATCAGCTAGATGCAGAATGGAGAGAAACAGAGACCATATGGGACCTACCAACCACCTCTACATCTGTCTATCACTGCATCTGACCACAATGACCTCCTACGAGTAATTGCTACTGCTTCTGTCTTCCATATCTTGTGCAGTTTCATCTTGTAGCCAACCCTAAGGCAGAACTACACACAGAAGGGCATTCTTGGAAACTTAGTTGTCTGCTTAATCTAGTTGACCAGTATAATCCAGCACAACTCCTAAAGTTCTTGTCCTTGTCCCAAATCTCAGAAGACAGTGAACAGCATAAGGAAAAGTAGAGATGCTCCTATGGGCTCACTGGTGACCTTGTGACTGCAGCTGACCTGTGATTTGGGGTATTCCTGGAGAGGGCAGTAGGGACACACAGGGAACTTTCCTTTCAAATGTGAAAATGTTGATCTGGATCTATGAGGAACCCTTGTGGAGACAGTGAACATAAAAGGAACTTTATAGGATATGATGAACAAAAGACACATTTCCTGTGTCAGACTCTGTTTACCTGCGTGAGGGTGAACACCAAAAAGAGACTGAAGTATGTCTTCAGGCTCTCTGAATTCTAAAATGTAGAGAACTTCATTCTGAACTGTTTTACGCAGACAGTGCTAGTGATTCAAGCAGGATCTTGTACAATGAGAGAGAGAGAGAGAGAGACATGGAGTAGAAGATTGATAGTGAAGATGCTTAACTTCCTTCCTTATACATCATGATTCCCAGCTCAGTCTCAGCCATCTGCCTCTGTACAACAGGCACACAGAGTTCCTCAAGCATCTGCCTCCTGCACCCAAGGTCTATGATGTGGGCTCCAGCCACAGGACACAGTGATGCTGGCAGCAGTGGAAGAACCAGAGCAGAAGAGAAAACCATTTGCAAAGGGAAACTCAGAGTTCCTAGGACCACATAGCAATTCTTGAGTCAGATACAAGTCCTTTAAAGGACAAATAATTTTCACAGATCCCAGGGTTAACTAAATTCCTTTTAACATAAAGCTAAGTGACTGTTAAAAATAAGAGCATAAAAGTAACCAAGATCTCTTATAGAAGTTCTCATTGAGCGCGGAGTGGAACACACCTTGCTAACAAAGAATGGCTGGTTACTTCCATTATAAGCTAACGTGGCTCCACCATGTGGAAGGAGGAAAAACAATTTACAATTCATTTAGTTGTTTACCAACTAAAATTATGCAAATCTTAATTTAAGTTTGGTGAAAACCACAAAATTACTAATTTTCCTTAGAATATATGGGTTATTAATTTTTATATCACACTACTTAAATCTCACATAATTTGTGCTGTCTAACCACATGTTTTAGACTATCATTCCATTGAAAACAGATTTTTTATTCTCATAAAAACATGAAGACCCATTAAAATTCTAGACGTGCCCACATCCAACTATGATTAGAATTATAAATAACTTTTAAATTTATATTTTTAAAGTTTAAAATTATCCTTGTTAATATTATGATTGCCCTACAGGTCTTGGAAGTGTCTTAAAAGTAATGATAACTTTGCATCTCTATAAAAACAGCACTATTCAAAAAGGGACAAAAACTTGATAAAATGTGGAATACTGTCTTTGTTGCTAACATATAAAATGCACAATTTCTTTGCTTTCTAAATTCTTCAATCAGAAATCCAAATTATCTAAACTCTTGGCATATTTAAGCCATCATGTATTACTTTGTTAATTTCAAAGCAGCATAACAGTAAACTGATCTTTAAAAGTACTTGTTAACAAATCGTAATTGTTTCTAATTCCCTAGGAAAGTATATCATTATTGAGTATTAAATATCTCAGCTCATAGGAATAGGTTGATTACTTGCCTTCCTTCTACTGTTTCAGATTTCCCAAATTTTTAATTTAATAAGCATATACTAATTTTATGACAAAATGAAATTTTGTGAAAGGATAAATGTTCATGTTAGAAGAGAAATAATATAATTACCTACTTTAAATATAATATATAATAATAGGAAATTAATATAGCATTTTACCCTAGTAGGAGAGGCTAAGATATCTTTTCTATCACAACATAAAAGTATATGTGAGTAAATATTAATATTGGAAAAGAATATATTCTATGAATCAGCAGTTACAAGGTCTCAGTCTTAACATTGCCCTTATAGTAAAAGAAAGCATGTACAAGTTCATTGCAGCAATTTAGGGTCAGAAAATCCTGGAAGGAACAAAATCATATAGCAAAAAATAGTATAATACATTATGGTAAGTCTACATTCCATATAGTTAAATGAAGTGAATCTGTACATAAGAACAGGAAAAGATCTCCAAAATGCATTATTGAGTGAAAAAAGTAAGTTGCAGAACAAAACATAGAGTCTGATGCTATTTATGTTAATAAAAATACTTGTACAATATATACCCTAAATATTACACAGTAAAGGGACTGTAAGTATATTGATGAATTCCCCATTATTATAATAGTAATCTCTGGAAGGGCGAATTATATAAGGGGAAAGGAGGACAGTCAACAGAGATTTTTATTTTAATTGCAATATTTTAATTTTTATAACAAGAATGCATTAATATATTACTAATTTAGAATTTTTTAAGTTTTCTTTTCTACCCTCATACACCTGCATTCATATACAGATGCAAATAACAAAATCCACCTTTACTGGAGATTTGCGACTAGCACATTTCTAAGCGCTTTAAGTGCATTATGTCATATAAATTTACTATTAACTTTATGATGTTAATATTGGATTTTGAAGAGTTTTGAATCACATGGGAAAAATATCTTGATCTGATATAAATGGGAAAAAAGGTTAACAGAAAAGTGAATATACAATATGCTCAACAATGTAAGAAAATATACTTAAGACCATAGACTGGAAGGAATATACCAAAATGATATCATTGTTGTCTCTGGGTAGTCGAATCATAGATGATTTCCTTCTTCATCTTATTTTTATAATTGTATATAAATCACAATTTTTCCTTCAATAAGAACATACTTTTATAATGAGAAAAATGACCTCATAAAAAAGCATCTCTTAAATACTATGTTATTTGCCCTGAAAACATTCCTAGTTTCCCTTAAAGTGGGTTGTCTAGACAAATAAATTTGTCTACATTTTGCTAGAACACACATTCATATACTCTACCCCTGGAATAAGGAGTTCCTAAAATCTGCTTATTATGTAAAATATAACTGCCTTTAACTTTTTTCTGAATTAAACTGTACCAGACTTAAATGAAAGCTCTTTATTGTTTCTGTCCAACAGCACAAGCTACAAACATAATCTGTTCCTTGAGCCACTTTTATTCAAAACTGAAATAATACTTTGTTTCTAAATCCTGAGGAAGAGGATGCCTACCACTGGGGAACAGTGGAAGCAATCTAAATGGAACACAGAGTTATGTTGGCACTGTCCTCAAAAAAGTCAAGTGAACTCAGTAAGTCTCAATACCTATTTATACCAAGCACTCCTGCCAGGTCCTGAGGATTGGAATGGGGTGAATCAAAGGTGAGCACGACGTGTAGTCATAGCAATTAATCCTGGGTTTCTGCCCCCTTAAAAATGACCAATAAAACAGAAGAAATGCTTTACCAGTAATTTCAGAACAAAATGGAATCATTGCAGATGTTTTGATAAGATTTGTCCCAGGCCCACTAGAACAAATCTACCAGTAGGTAAACATTGTATACTCCTTAAGGAAGGACCAGGAAAAGATGTGACAAAGATGCTCTTCGGGCGAATAAAATTATCCTAAAAACTGAAAATATATCCTGCTCTGGCAATCAAGGAATCACTGTCCTTTCCTCGTAAGAGGGAGAGTGAGACAAGGATGCAACTGGAGGGCGTCCAGCTTGCATTCTAATCATGGTCCCTTGCTTCGCTGATTATGAGCTCTGAGCACTTTCTGAATCTCAGTCTCCCACCATCAAATGATGGGTAGACTAAAAGACTGCTAAGTTTTCCTGCTCGAACATCACAGGGGTCTGTGAGGCGCTCCATCCTGGTTGGCCCCTGGTAGCACCTGCGGACTTTGCTTTTAGGGAGCCTGGGAGTCCCAGTGCCGAATGAAGACGTAGTTCCTCAGTGTACAATTTTAGACCCTATGCAGGCACTTTGGGTCTTTAAAAGAATTAGTTGGTCCCTGGGCTGTCTCTTGTAACTTTAATATTTACACTATGACAAAGTGAAAGCGCTCATTAGTGTTTGAGCCAAAGTAATACCATTCCCTTTATTCATTCCAATGAGCTTATTTTACATTAGCAAGAAAGAGCGGGAGAGGTAGAAGCCCACCGGGTATTTGTCTAGCCAAAGTGAATCTCAGACGGCAGATAAATTGGAAATGCGTTAGCGTGAAACCCATGAGAAATTTGTTCTTGCATCTGACCTCCAGAAGACAAGGCCACAAATAAGTGACATTTGACATGCCCCTTCCCTGGTTCCGCCCAGAGCTGCCACAGTTCCCAGGGGTGCCCAAGCAACTCGTTTTCCAGACGACACAGGCTCATCAGAGAGAATCAGGAGTAATGGCGTGGGGGGCGAGCAGGCAGGAGGCGGGGGCGGCAGGGCTGCAGCACACAATAGTGGAGCAAAGATCTCTTCCAAATTTCTACTTCCACAAAATTGCTCAAAGACTCTGAGAGTCCGGGTCCCCCTTAAATGCTGCATTTTCTTAGCTACATTCTCTCTAGTTTTGGCGAGTGTCTCAAAAACGAACACTGCTTCTGAGTTTATGGTACGTTCCACTTCATTTCCAGGGCAGCGTGTCATGATTCCATTTGGAATCTACACGGGCACTTTCGGGGGACTGTGTAAGCTCTTGCCTCCCAGGATCCGCTGTGATCTTACTGGTGGGATGGGAGCACACTTAGCCACAAGGCCCGAAGTATGTGCTGTCACTACAAGGACATCTTCACATACTGGGGGGCCCTTCATCTCTTCTAGTAACTCCAGAGAAAAACCTGGTAGAGTCCACCAAAGGATTTTGAGGATTAATTCTGTAAGAACTTCTTATGCTACAGGGAATCCTCCTCCAAGGGACGATTCTGCTCCGTACTTCTGAGCTCTGATGGCGATCACATTAGCATCCCCGGGGCCTGCAGCAGGAGAGACGAGGGGGAGGTCCTCCTCTGTAGTTCCATGAAAGGGCCATAGGCACAGCTCAGCTGATCCAGTCTGAGGTTTTTCTCTAACATCAAAAGCGGAGTATGATTTGCATTAGAAATTTTCCAGAATTCCTCATTTTAGGTCAAGACTGGCCTGACCCATAGGTTAGTGACATATGAGGTGGGATTTAACACTCAAAAAAAAATTCTCCACAAAAAGAATTCTATCCCACCAACCTGCTGTGGCTTCTGAAATCCACCCATTAGTGACCCTGTGGAGTGCAGCCACTGAAAGCGCAGGTTAAAATGCGAATTTGTTAGTTAGAGAGGTAGTTATGTGGAACTGTTATCAACTGTTAATGTCCCAGCATTGCTAGAATGTCAGACTAAGAAGTTCGGGTTAAAATCAACATACCAACAAATAAAGACTGGCTTTATACACTGCATATTTAATGCGTGAAAACGCTAACGTTGAAAGGTGGTACCAAATGTGAACTACATTCAAGATCACATTGGATAAATTAATGCATGACAGATCCTTGATATGTTATTAATGGAAATGAGTTTGGGGGATACAGTTTAGCCTCGGAGATTAGTGTCAAGAAGGAAAGCTATCTCCTCTGGCGCCCGTGGCAGAAGCAGAACGTTAGTACAATTCACTATGGATCAAATGCAGTCTGCAATTCAGTGTAAGTGATTTAAATGAGAGAGAGAACAGGAGGATCTGCTTTTGACTCTGTCTCTGCGACTTACAACATGTGTAATCCTGCTCAAGCCACCTAAGCGAAGCGAGCCTCAAGTTCCTCATCTATAAAATTGAGATGTGGGGAAGAAGACTAAATGTAAAATTGTTGCCCAGTAATTCTCTATTAAAGAACCTCTTCTTCCCTCCCCCATTCACATTCATCAAGGAGAGGAGTAGGCTGCTGTTGGCTAAGGACCCTCAACACACCTAGACCTATTCCTGAGGCGTTGGTGGCTCAGAATTTGGGGCAGGCATGTCACTCCCTTCCAAAGATACGGCTACTCCCAAAGTAGCCATGTCTTTGACACTGTGAACAAGCATCAGCAGACAGGTGAGTCTAATCCCTTGTCAAAGATATGGTTACTTCCTGGGTAGGAAGGGATAGCCTTTTGGTGTAGGTGGGATAGCCTTTTTGCACTAGTCTGTATCTGTGACTCTACCTCCGTTTGCACAGAAGGAAAATCAAACGAGGCTGAGCACCTACAGCAGCTTCCAGAAGAAAACAAATTGCAGAAGGGCAGTGTGCTGCCTAAGGGAAATTCAGGGCATGGAGGCGGGGGTTTAGGGAGGCATCCAGTAGGAACCTCTGCCTTCTTGGCACCTAGAGTTGTTTTCCAGCCAATCATATAGTTTAACCCTTTTCTTTTACAGACAAAGGAATTGAGGCCCAGAAAGGATGGAGTCTTGCCCAAGGCCTACCGTTAGAAGGCAGTGTTGGGGTTGAGAATTGTTCATGCAAGACACAAACACAAAGCAGATGACTAAATTTTCTTTTGGTGGAAACTGGAAAATCTATAAGACCCTACTCAGCCTGGAAAGCCCCCATTTATTACATAGTGAACCAGTCAACAACTGCCAAGTTTATCTGAAGCCCAATTAGAAGTCCTACCCCACATCCAAAAATCCCACCCTAATAGGACACTTGCCCATCAAAGATTCTCTTCAGGTGTCTTCCTTTTACTATCCTTTCAAACCCTCGACTGCACTGAGCCTATGCCAGCAGGGACAGGGCCTGACAGCCTTACTACAGGCAGTTCCCACCAGCTCCCTAGGCAGCCGTGGTCCTTCGGAGGGCTCACACCTGCCCTCTGGCTGCAAGCCCACTGCACCTCCTGCCCTCGGATGTTTCGCCCTGGCCCTGGCTTTATCTGATGAGCCTCGGCCTGTGGTTTGAGCTCCATGGCCTCTGTTTGTCTCACAAACATTAGTGGCAATTCTTCTGGTTTGTTCCAAAGCCAATAGAGCCTGTAATCAGTGGGCAGGCCCCTCATGGAGACTCTGGAATGTAGCTGAGGCTGAGGAATCTGGAGCGTCTCAGCCAACTTTATCCCCTCCCTCCACTGAGGGTGGAATTCCCCAACACCCCATTGTCCCCTGTGACTGTAGGGATTCCCACCCCAGCAAGTGTTGCTTTGGAGGAGCTATGGGAGACCAGCCTGCAGCCAGCCAGCACCACCCTGCCCGCTGAGGGGCAGTGAAGGAAAGAGGGCCCCAGGTGGAGGGCACTCCTGCTGTCCATCTTCCTAATCAGGGCCACCCTATCAGAGGACAAAGCGCAGCAGTGGTCTGGGCATCTGGCTCTGCCCTGTCCTCCTCGGGGTTTGGTCCCCGGGAGTGAGATCCAGTTCAGGATCTGCAGTGATGCTGGCTGGCTCTGGCCCTAAGGACACTGGGGGTGACAGGGAGCTGCTGAGGACTGTAGCAGCAACTAGGCTGTTGTCTGCACACTGCCTCACCCAGGAGGAAGCCCCAGCCGGGACCCCGGCTCCTGCTGAACCTTGAAGCTGCCCACCAGAGTGCGTGGATTCCTGACACTTGGGGGAGACCAGGGAAGGTGGCTCTAGGGCCATGGGACACAGCTAAGGAATCGCCCACCCCACAACAATTCCTGTGCCTTTTCACAAAGATAGTGGTGGGTAGAGGAGGAAGGAGGAAAATTGGCCTGCCTCTTCCTCTTGGCTGTATGTGGTCGTAGACATTGCCAGAACTTTAGACCTAGCTTCAAATTCTGTCTCTGGCACTAATTAGCATAAAACATTAGGAAAATTGTTTAACCTCTCTGATCCTCTAGCTCATAAAATGGGAATATAATATCACCCTTGGTTGGTGATGAAAGTATATGAGCTGGCGTTGTAAAGTTGAAGGTACACAGTAGGTGCACAATGAGAACTAAATCTCCTTCCCTAGTTCCCAGCTTGTGAGTCTGAGGTTAAACCCATTTGACCCCAGAGAAGACGTGACGGGGATAAAGGGGCTGAGGTTCCCACGAATCTACAACAGGCTTTAGGTGACAATATCCTCTCAATCCCATGAGGTTCAACAGAATGTCTCCTCTTTTTGGTGACATTTTCAGAAATGAAGAGATGGGGAACCAAGACATGGAGACTCTGATCTTTAGCTCCATTTTGGTTCCAAGAGCAGGAGCTGATGGTGTTTGGAGGGTCATCTGTTCATCCAGGCAGTGTGGATAAAACAAAGGCAACCCAGCCCATCTCTAGGACACAGCTAAACCAACGAGCAGCTGTGTCCTGTGTCCCAGCACCTACAGAAATGCATAAATTATCTGGGACCAAGCATTCCCCGGTGGCCTCTGTCTCCAGAATATAAACCCCCAACAACAGGACTGGCAAAGAAACCAGGCTCCAGGGTGGGTCTACGGCAGCCCCTATTTCATGTGGTTTGCTGAGAAATACAGTAGGCCCCAGGATAGGGGAGGGGAGAAGAGGAGGGTCTAAAGTTCTGACTGAATGAAAAGACCACACAGAGAGAGAAAGAAAGGAATGAGTTAAAGTGATAAAAGGTCATGAGTTTATTTGCAACTCGACTAAACAAATTATAGTCTTATACAAACATTGTGAGGATTAAGTGAACAATATCATACTTTCTTGAGCTCTTTCTGATCTAATGCTTTGCTGTTAAAGGTTATATTCCTGGGGAGTTGATATCATAGCTTCTTGTTCCTTGTCAGTAAACATAAGAAGAGGCCAATCCCGTGTAAATTTAAATTACAGAAAACCTTTCCCCCAACTCTCTGGTCTCTTAGCCCCTTTTTACTGAGCTCTGGTCACGGAATGTAAATATCTTTATCTTAGCAGTGCAGACTTTTGAACATTTGACATAATAGAATTTCTTCCTCACAAAGCATATTAAACATCATTGCAAACTCAACTCTATTTTACTTTTAACAAAGACTAAAAGCAGAAGGTCTTTTGTTTGCTTGTTTTTAAACTATTTCCACACAACCAATAAAGTGTTCTCTCTGACCATCCCTGCTGACTGCTTAGGCCGCCCCCCCCCAGACAAGGGAATGAAGGGATTGTGCAAAAGCACAGCAGGAGATTGGGGGTTGCAGAGTGAAAGTGGGAGGACCCTGTAGGCTGATTTCTAAATGCAGCAAAGAATTAACAGACAACTAACAAATGAAGTGACAGAAGATGGAGACAAAAATTTCCAGTGATTTTGACTTCTCTGTTCTATGAAGCTCTAATTCAGTGTCACACTGGTGTGAAAACTTAGGATATTTTTGGACTTACCTCTGCTACCCCAGGGCCAGCACAATATAGGTTTCTTGAATGAATGAACATATCTATCAATGAATGGATGCTAATATTGAGAAAGGCAAGAAATCCATTGCAGGTCAATCAATGGGGTCCTCAAAGATTCACCTTTGTATCCTGTTGTCTTCTGAGTCAAGGAGACAACAGCTGGAGCAGAGTCCTTGGGGTACGGGGACCTAGGAGGACACACATCTTAGGAAGCATGTCACTATCAACTGCAAGTCCCTAAGCAGTCTGAATCATCTATTTCCATGCTATGCTCCCAGCTGTTGTAACCTCTAGTGATCCATCCCTTTTCTGAATCTTTCCTTCATAGGTTAGGTGTTTTTCATTTGGAGAATAAATACAGCCTTGACTGTTGTGCTTCTCCTTACCTCCTTCTCTGACAAGATCCTTAAGGGTGGAGACTCTTGAATGCTGGGTTTTGTGCCTACTTCACTGCATATCCTAGAGCTGAGTACATATGGAAGAATGAATCAATTAATAGAATTAATGAACACGTGCCAAGGCTTAAAGAGGACATTAACTGCTTGGTTTAATGACAAAAAGCAACATCATTCTTTTGTGTCTAGCCCCTAGCCCAGAGGTACAGTCTCCATCCTTGTGTGGGGGCCCACGGTGATGCACAGACACCTGCAGCCTGTGCCTAAACCCTGCCGCCTGGCCCCTGCAGCTGGCACGGCCTGCCTGCTCTTTGCTTGCGGCTCTCATACGTTGTGATGAACGAGTTCGACTTGTCATGCTGCATGGTGTATCGCATCCTGGGAGTGCTTCCCAGCTATCCCAAACCCGGAGCTGATGAATCAAGGCTGAAAACACACTCCGATGCCAGCACAGACAACGGAGCAAATGTCAAACAAGGTCAGCCTCAGAAAGGCGGGTCCTGAATTGGATCAGTGAGGCCAGGACTAAAGCGAGCTTCCACTTACAAGGACTTTGTATGGAAATAGGTGGGCAGGGCCTGAAAAGACCCATGAATTTCCCCCCAGCAGGGAGCTTTTCTCCATCCTGACCTCTGGGGAGATCTATCAACATACCAAGGGAGATTTCGGCATGGGTTGTGGGACTGTCTGCCCCGGACAGGGGACATGGGATTCTGCTTGGCTTCTGGGAAAAATTGCCCAGTGTGCCAGGTTTTCATGGTTTGCATTTAGAGTCTGGAAGGTGGGCGAATTTGGGAGAAAGTCGACAGAGGATCTCTCTCCAGAGGGGAAGAGGGCTCTCAGGCTCCGGGAAGCACTTTCAGGGTGGTCCAGGCGGCTGTCAGGAGACAGGGACCAACCCTCATTTGCAACAAGGAGTCTGAGGAGATCCATGATTGCGGTTTTAATGTGCCTTACTCCTGTTTCACAGGGGCCGAGCTCAGCCGGGCCATGAAAAAGACAACGCAGAAGAGAGAGGAGCGGCCACTAGATGGCAGCAGAGGGTAAGAAACGCGAGCCGCAGGCGGGCTTGGGGACTCAGGCTGGCAGCCCCTCCATTTTGCTTTACATCTTTAATGAGATATGTGAAGAAAATGAGTCCCTTACATGCCAGACACAGATGCCACAGCATATGGAGAGACGCCGCACGGCGATATTTCTCTGGTTATTAAACAGGAGGCACCTAACCAGTCATTCACGGCATCATCATGCAGGGTTGTCCTTTATATCCCCGGATACTGTTGCTGGCGAGGTAGCAACAGCAGGAACGTTGAGAAGACCGCTGTGGGGACGAGCCGCTGGGCTGGCGGGGCATCGCCGCGCCGGGACGCGGGGCGCGGCGCCAGGACCAGCCCGCGGGCGCTCGGCGGGGGACGCCGCCAGACAGGCGTGCAGGCGCCACGGCTCTCTGGTCTCCCCGGCAGTCCCCGGGGGCTCATTTACTCAGGACCCCCATTACCGCCAGACAAGCCTGTGGTCTGACCTTCCACCACAAACCCCCAGTGGGAAAGGGAGTTCCGGGCATATAAAGAGCAAACTATGCTTTCCTTTCTGGCAGAATTAAAGAGCCATAGCGTGACGAAGATACATTCAAATGCGCGTAGCTAGCGAAGCCCCGTTTGCACGCTACCCCACACAAGATAGGGAGGCCAGCCCCGCTGACTGCAGGCAGTAGCGTAGGCGTCACACGGAGGACGCAGTTTTTCCTGGGAGATTGTTACCAGGTCCAGAGCAGGCAGGTATTACTCTGTTTTATTAATGTATTCCACCCAGTTTCCCACTCCTCACTGTTTGCCCCAGCCCCAGGCTGACCATTCCTTATTTAATCCTTCCACGCTCTTAAACCCAGGGGCTTCTTAAGGCCTCAGTTGTGGCCGAGAGAACAGGTTTCTCGGTCCAGGCAAGCAGCTACCCTCTCCAGGCCTAATAAGAGACTGTTCTCTTAATAACCCCAGAGCCCAAAGCTCCCAGGACTTCTCAGAGCCACTTGTAAAGCCCCTTAACAAGCCTGGGATGAAGGTAAATAATATAGACATTTTTCATACAGAGAAACTGAGCTGCAACTCAGCTCTCCTGGTCCCCATCCCTTCCCGTACATTTGAGCCTCTGAAACATCCCCCAGTGAAGAAGTAGTAGCAATATTTGCCCTGCCACTATTTCCCTCCGCTTAGAAAATGACTCCATGTGCTAAAAATCCTCACTTGTCTGCGTCGTGACCTTAGACAATTCACTTGGGCTCTCTGTGCCTCGTGCATCATCTGTAATTTGAGGGACCAGAAGTGGAGGATGTCCAAGGCCCATTCCAGCCCTATGATCCTGTGGTTTTCATTTCCCAGGCTTCTGCCAGCCCTCAAAGAGTGTCACACAGGGCCGTTTTTCTTACAATAGCCAAACTCAACAGGAACAAGCAGAATTTCCTTCTCCAGTTGAGAAGAAATGTGGTTGTGGTTGGAGTCTCATTGGCAGTTTTTGTCCTCAGAGTGAAGCAAACAGGGAGGCTTCAGATGTTATTGGCAATGACTGCAGGGGTTGGAGGTGGCCACACTCTTGTCGAACGACCATGCAGAGCTGTCTCTGTGGGCAGTGGAGATGCCTAGCCAAGACTGAGGGATGTTTTAATAACTATTTCTCAATAAAAAAGACCTATTTTATTCCGCACAGGGGTCTAGGGGCATATCCAGGTCTCCCAGGAGGAATCTGCTCTCACCCATATTGGGGGATTGGTTCAGCTCAGCTGCTCTTACAAAGGGCTGAATACAGCATGCAGTGGTGCAGGCAGCTCCCCGCAGCTCCATGTGAAAATGACTCACAGCAGTTCTGAATATCAAACCTCCTTTGATGTGTTCCCAGACATGAGGAACAGCCACAGGGGGAGGAGCTGGACTCTGGTTGCTGGCGCTGTGGAGGGGTGCACAGAGGGCTGGGCACATCTGGTACCAGCCCAAAGCTCCAGGAGAAATTCAGGCTGGGTAATTACCTAGGACTTCCTAGGATAACAGAGCTCCCTTTTATCTATTTCTCTCTCTCACTCTCTTTCTGTCTCCAGCTACAGGGGAATTAGATTCTCCAGGAAATTACAACCTGTTTCTATACCTTCACCTTTCCCGGGGGGATAACAATTCACATCTCTGAATAAAAGTTGTTTTATTGAGCACAAAATGAATGCACCCCCTCACTCAGCATCTGTGCCAATTGCTTTCAAGCCGTAGACCTGGCCCCAGTCAGCCAAGCGAAAGGATTTTCCTCTGTAATAGCCATTTCCAGACTCAGCCTTTCGAGTGGCCGCATGGTACCTTGTTCTCCTAATAGGCTCTCAATGATGATTGAATGCAAAGCCTGCAAGGCTCTCCTGTGCTGGCGGCTCCCGAGACGAGGGCAATCACACTCATCCCCAGCAGAAGACAGACCCATGCCGACGGTCAGATGAGCATCAAGGCTGGCAGCAGAAGGGAGGGTCACGGCTGCCGATAACTCACTGACTTCCGTTTCTATGGAAAGCTTATTTATATTCAAGAGCTTCTCCCCTTCGAGACAGGGCTCAAGAGCATGTTGTTCCCTGGAAACTTGGGCAAAGTCCTTACAGTGCCAGAAGGGAGCGGCAAAGGGCGTATGGGGAGAGAATCTGTTCCACCCCATGCCTGCACATTTTCATTTTCTGAAATGAAGCTGATTTTATTTTGCAGTTCACCTGGGCTTTGACTGTAAAACTATCATGCACCGATAGAGATCTGCCCACACCCACAACATGGACATAATATAAACAACCGCCGTTTACTGAGCACTAGCTACGTGCCAGGCACAACGTCCAGGGCCTCCCATGCACCATCTCCTCCCGTGCTCACGACATTCTGGGTGTGGGCGTGCAGGGGGTGTTGTTATCCCTGTTTTACAGATGAGGAACCTAAGGCTCAAAAAGGCTAAGAAACTCTCTTAAGATTGAACAGCTCACATAAAAGAGGTGCAATTCTAGATTGTTGGATTCCAAGGCATCATCTCTTAGCCACTGTGCTCTGGGGCAATATGCTTATTATCTAATGCCTACTGCGTTCAGGGCAGTGGGATTATGAGGGAGCCCAGGAGAGAGACACAGTTCTCGACTCTACCAAGCTTCTGTTTAACCACACACCAGTGCACAGTAAGCCGTACACACGTGCACAGAGTTACAGGAACTTCTGGTGCAGGTTCCAGCCTTCCTCATTATCCTGCTCCCAGACCTCCCGCCTTGATTCAGTTTGAAGTGTTCATATGGTGAAGACCGAGGTCTTCTGCAGAAGGGCTTCAGCTGCTTGAGTTTTGCAGGCAACTACATGAGCACTTCCACCTTTTATGCATTGTGCTATAGTTACCTAACCCCTGAACTGGTCAGTGTTTGTTTCTCTATCTTTTCGGGGAGCAGGCTGGGGAGCAGGGTAGGGACAGAGAGGATTCAAGTTTGTTGAAAGTTCGGGAAGTCAAGCCATAGGTTGACTAGAAGGAATAAAGCAGGGGAGGATTCAGGGTGGGGATGAAACTCCACTGCTTCTATGACCTCGTAAGGTGAGTGCTGATGTATCTGAGGGACACTGCATGCTAAGGTGAAACAGAAAGAAAGAAGCAAACATTGCACTAGTTGCAGATTTTGCCAAAAGCAGATTGGCTGCCAAGGCTACTTTAGTCTTGACTCATACATAGATCCATGATCAGGGAGACAGGACAGTGTCCTACTGGGCTGGACATCTTCCAGTGACATTGACCCAATTGTGAGTGGAAGAGACACCTTGATGTTAAGAGAAACTTCCCTCCAAAGCCAAATTAATGGACCACCTACATGTAAAACAGGAGACTGAAACCATTTAAGTCCCAGGAAGAACACAGACTTACCTACTTATGGACTAGACCTCTTTGCAAATATAATGAAAAAAGAAAAGCTCCATATACACAGAAGTCTGTATCCAGTTTTATTTCAGGAGATTTGAGCTCCTTCTGAAGGTAAGAATTCTAGATCAGAGTCTCCCTAAAACCTTGAAAAGGGTCACCCTAGGAAACTGTATG